ATATATAAATAATTATATATTATTATTGAAATAACTTAAAGTATTTTTACTATTTTGTCAAAAGTCACAATTTTGTTAAAATGTGACACTGAATTTGCAATGAAAGTGTATGACATCTCAGGTAACTGGTAAATGTATGTAAAGTGTTGCTTGCCTGAAAGGGCAGTTTCTCTTTTAAGTAAGGGTGAAATAGAGTGCAGAATTGTCAGAAAACAGAATGTGTGAATGTGATGCTTATGGATTTATACATCTTACTCTGAGTTTAATTATTTTTACTGAGCTGTTCCTTGATAGATAAGTTGTGGCAAAATAGAGTATTTGTAACAGCTAATTCCGACATTTAATGCTTTTTCTGTAAATGTATTTTGTAAAATGTGAAATAAACTACCAGTTGAGAATTTTTTAGCTCTAGTGTGTATGACTCAAATTTGTTTTGAATCGCTTACCATTTCTGTTCTATATATTTGAATAATAAATACAGTCTTAAACTATTTTACTGTTGATCTGATTTCCTTTTCCTCATTTTAATGAATTGTTGGAGTTGTGGGATGATGTATTTAGGATTCTGCTTAAGAGTTTTGTGGTGGTAAGCACAAAAGACTGCTTTGTTAGCTCGCTGTATGAGACGGGGGAAAAACAAGGCCTTGAGTTACTACCCTATATTGCTAATGATAACAAATTTCAGTACTGTTTTCTTTCTGTCTTCTCAGTAAGGGGGAGGAAGCAATAATGTTGTTGCTTCCTAACAGTCGTACTCATTAAAATAAAATTAAATTGTTATAAATCTATTTCATTGCAGCATCCCCTTCACTATTCAGCGACTCTGTGAGTTGCTGACAGATCCTAGGAGGAATTACACAGGAACAGACAAATTTCTAAGAGGTGTGGAAAAGGTATGTATTTTTCTGAGAGAAAACACAGCTAAACAGTCTCAAGTACCACTTAAATAACTTCTGAATTACTCTCAAAGGTCTGTTGGTTTCATAATGGCTCATAGCTATAGTACAGCTAATAGCTACTCCAAGCATGTGAGTGTTTCACACCTTTAAACATCAAAAAGCAGTTTTAAAATAACTTAAGACAAAAAATAAATCTCAGGGCTGTAACTGTTGTGTTTCCTAATGACTGTGCAGTACTCAAACTGTAGTTTGTGGAGGATGTAATACCACTTATATTGAGTCCTAGCTAGAAATAATCAAATAATCAGCTGAAATAAGTTGATTTTTTTGATCAGGCATTTCCTTCCACATTTGGGTTCAGATTAGATCTAGTAAGTGAAGGAGAAGGGACACCCCTTCCCCCCAGTGTCTTTTGTTTCACTATGTAAATCCTCTTACGTAGAGGACTGTGCCTTCATGAAAGCATACAGATATCAATTAATGGCATTTTATAGCTTTTGTCAGAATGTGGGATCTTTCAAAAGTAGGTAAAAGACTTCCAGGATGTGGTTCCACATAGGAACCTCAAGCCAATTTTGCCATCAAGAAAATCCTACTTGGACTGTTCAGTTGAAGAAAGGTTAACTTGTAAATGGTGTGGTTTTCACTGTTATAGTGGATGCAGTCAGGTGTATTCTTGCAAGTCAAGATGGGAAGGAGATGGTCAGGAATAAATGATGAGACGGGGATTTCACAAACAGTTTCTTTGCCAACAATGAGATCTGTGAAACCACACCTCAGGTTTTATGGAGAACCCTTGTTAAAGTTCATCTGGGTTAATTTAGCTGGCCCTGTGATAAAAGCCCCCCCTGTATAATTGGGCTAAGTATTGATTTGAAGAGACACACTTACTTAATTTTTAAGCTAGGTTTTTAGATGTTAAAATTGATTTAGTTTGGAGTGCAATTGAAGAGGGAGGGGTAGCTAAGCCAAACTTACTGAATTAATCATTATTTCTGCCCTTTGTTTATGTTGGGCCAGAATAATTTAACATTTGAAATATGGCTGTGCCAAAAATAGCTGATAGTGCTTGCATGCTTTTGAATGCAGGACTCGCGTATGAATAGAGCATTTCTCCAGCAATTCAGAAATCTTTCAGCACTTGAGAATACTTCGTTTTCCAGAGATACTTCAGTTAGAAATTACAAACACTTGGGCCTGAGGCTTAATGTGCTGGTCTCGTTATGACAGCAACCCACTTATGAAAGTACTGACTTTGAGTGTAATCATGGCCTGACCGTGTAAAGAGGGAGCAGAGATACTTTTTATGGATCTGTCATCTGCTGGTAGCTTTCAACCCAGTTTTCTGTAGAGATACTTTAACAGATATGGCCAAATTCCTGTAACTTGTTAAGTTTTGGGGTGTTGTCAAGAGCTGAAGCTTCTGTTTCGGAACTCTTAATATGTTGTTTGTGTATTACAGAATGTCATGGTTGTCAGCTGTGTATATCCATCTTCAGAGTAAGTATAATCTTCTTTTTCTTGAAACTTCAAGCTTGTTTTAGTAGAGTAGAGAATGTGCACGTGTGTGTCTAATATATTCCTCTTGCTGGCAGTAACTGTATCCAAAAGACAGCCATGCAGAGTTCAGTTTTCATTATCAATAATGATTTCAACAGTAGTGATAGTGGTCTGCAAGTGTTGCATGTAGCAATTTGGAAATGAACAAACAAGCTTTGGACTCATATATATGGTACAGTTCAGTATTACTCCCAAACACTAAGCTGTTGTTTTATACCATAGCTGGTGGTGGAAAAAACAAATACCCCTCGATAACAGTAGCGCTGTAAATTCATCTCCTAGCCTATAGGTATAAATAGAGAACCCATTGAAGACTGAAAGTGGGGGACTATTTAAGTTTGGGAGGGGAATTCTGTGCAAACAAGCTTAAAGTAATTAAAGTTCCTTTATTAGTAACTTTTTTTTTTTAGGAAAAATAATTCCAATAGTTTAAATCGGATGAATGGTGTTATGTTCCCAGGAAATTCACCAGGGTACTCGGACAGGTAAGTTCCGTTTTAGGAGTTAACTTTTTCTGGGTAAAAGCAAGGTAGTTCTGGAAAGAGCTGGTTCAGATCCCTTATCATTACCTATTCTGATCCCAAATAGGTAGCCTCAAAAATGGGGTGCAACACAGAATACTGGGGGAGGGAGGGTAGAGGAGGCATGAACATGCACACTGTGGTACTCTATTTGTTGATCTTTTTGTAATCTCATTGTTTAGAATTTTTTTGTTGTTATTTAAAGTTTTTATCATAGCTTGCATGTTGTAGGCAAGGAATTTTTTTTATTCAATATAAAATAGCAAAGTACCTGATCTGTTTTGGTTTTGTTTTGATAACCTTTTAAAGCAAGGTTGTAGCTGCTTTCTACCTATTAAGAGCAAATTACTTTACTAAAAGGATGGGTTAATTTTTTATTGTTATTTTAAAGATCTAATGTAAATGGTCCTGGAACTCCCAGACCAGTAAATCGACCGAAGGTTTCTTTGTCAACTCCTATGACAACAAACGGTTTGCCAGACAGCACGGAACATAAAGAATCAAGCTTGCAGCAGACAGAAGATAAAAAACACAGGTTTGTGAGGAGTAACGTATTTTGAGTTTTTATTATTCTCAGTTATTTTCACTTACATTTTAAAAATATTTTAAAAGAGAGTGGCCATCTAAGGTATGCATAATTAAGTCTTAACATACAAATATCTGCAGCAGGATTTGATGTGTATGTACTACTGTTTGGGCTGTCTAGATAAACTATTAGCTCAAGTTTCCACAGTTGCAGTAGCCACATCTTGTGAGTGTATGGGATGTATAGTAAAAATGAAGACTGTAACAGAGTTCAGGAATCCACAGTTACCATATTTGTGTTGGGATATTAAACTATAACCAGATATGGTAGTTCATAAATGCTTGCCGCTGATCCTGACAGTAGGAGCCGTCTGTAATTTGGACCTGCCCGAGTAGCCTGACCACTCTGCGTTTTCATCGACAGTCAGGTGAAGGAGTGATGGCTTTGAGGTTTTGTTATGTAGTAAGTGACATGAGTTCTACTGTTATCTCTTGTAGAGTGTTTAACTAGAAGTAGCTGCTTTTTCTTTTTTTTCTTAAAGTGTGACAAGATACAGAATGTTTTTCTTCAATAAAAACTACAGCTGCTTTTGTTGTTTGTAGTGAATCACCAGCATCTGAATCGGAAGGTACTCAGAGCAGCCCGGTAAAAAATAAGCACTCTGAAGATGATCCTGCAGAAGCAGAAGGACGTGAGGTAAAAAGACTTAAATTTGACAAGGAAGGGGAAGCCAGAGATGCACCTAACCAAACTGCCTCCAGTGAAGTCTCTCTAGGCATGGGGGAAGACACAGAAACATCCTCTACATCTCAGGATAAAGAAAAAGATGCTACTTGTGCCAGACAGCACTGTACAGAGGAAGAAGAGGAAGGTATTGCAGATTTTATTTTTTTGCTCTGTGCGTTTTCCAAGGAGTTGGGATTTTCTTTGCTGGAGGCCAGTGCTGTTGGGATTGCTGAATGTCTCCAGTTGTGCATAAAGACGAACTGCTTGTTATACTTCAACTTTGCATAACTTGGCAATTCTCCTACTACTACTTTTTTCTTTGTCCTGCATCTCTATATAAAAACCTTATAAAATGGTACTTAAAAGCTTCTTAGGTAGTAAGTTACATGAGGGTGGTAATGATGCACCAAGAATTTGAGAATCCCTACTTAGGGTATCATCAGATGTTCTCATCCCTCCTCCAGAAGGGGGATGCGTCATATCTACATTTGACTGTCTTTATTGTTAATAAATTACTGAAATACAGATATAAAGTTATGTTCTTTCGCTGAGGAGGCTGAGCAACAATCTCTCCAGATCCTATTAGAAGAGTGAAAATTGCCTCACTCTAAGGCAGGCCCTGTACCTAATTTAAAAAAAAAAGATAACTGCAGTGAAGAGACTGATTGATTTTTGTACATATGCTCCAGAGTTTCCTTTTCATATTTATTTTTTGTGGCTCATGTATTTGTAAAATGTTCCTCTAGATCATGATGGATGTGCACTTGAAACAGTAATGTTTTCAATATTTCCAAAAGATTGCTTCTGAAGACAAATGGAGGAACGTGGGGAAGCAAGAACAAGTTACTTGTTTGTTAGACACTGTCTTTATCCACTGAAGCTTAATTAAGTGAAGCTGCCTGTTTAATTAAAAAAATGGACTTTATTTTATGGTGTGTTAGGATAGTTTGGTTATCCTGATGAAGGTGGCTTTACATTTTCTAATAAATTAAATCGGGGATTGTCACTTTTTCCTGTCCTTGGCTGTGTTGTAGAAGTACTGCTCAGCATAGCTGGGAATAGAAAGTAGCAGGATTAAGATCTCTTTAAAAATGCCTTAGTAATACTGTACTTTCACCGTTTCTAGAGTCCTTCATGTCTCCCAGAAATGCTGGTCCAGACAGAAAAGAGCAAGAAAAAGACACTGAATCCTCAACTGTGAATGAAGACACCTCTGAGGAGAACAATCAAATGGAGGAGTCTGATCAGTCTCAAGCAGAGAAGGATTTACACTCAGATGACAGTGAAATTAGTGGATCTGCCAGTAGTGGAGCTGACTGCAGTGAAACTGAAGAGTTAGGGTCCTATGCTAGTGAAACTCCAGAAATTTCATCAGAGACCCCTATGGAAAACAGCGATGAAGCCACAGAAGCTGCAGATGAACCTATGGAGCAAGACTAATTTAAATACACTTAGATGCAGTATTTTCCATAAGGCTCCGGTTTTACACTGTATAAATAATTTTATGTAATAAAGTGGACCTTTAGTTTTACAAAAAGCAGCAGGTTGTAAAATAAACTTCTTCATGGATTGAACCTTGAAAGAGTTGTACATGATAAGAACTGTGAATACCAGCTCCTTCAGGTCCTGCTTACCGCTGAACTTTCGTTTGGTCAAATCAGTGGTTTGTGTATAGTTTTTTTTATTTAGAATAAAAGTTTTTAAACTGGAAGGTAATTATAATTTTGACAACTTTTTTGGAGATTACCACACCTAGTTGTATGTAAGCAAGGAAGCTTTTTGTCTTGTCTCTTTCTGACAGCTATAGCAGTTACTTCATATTTTGGTTACAGTTTCAACATTTGACATGTGAAATATGGGGTTTCATGCTGGTTTCCAGATTTTTATTTGAATACACACTATGAAACCTTATGTTGTGTGTTTTTAAAATGTGTTACATTTCACACACACATATATGCACGCATGCACACGTATGTGTACCCTCACTGTTCTAAGGGGGAAATGGTATATTTTTCTGTTTCTATAAAAGATAAACACAGCAAATACTTTTTCTATAGGAAAAGACTGCGTTCACCTCTCAAGGCACTTTGTTTTGCCTCTGGAAAACAAACCAAATGAAATCTGGCCCATATGAAACCCTGGAAGTACTGACGTTGTTGAAAACACCAGAGTAAACACATTCCAAGAGAACTGTTCAGATTACAACACTTTTGTATACTTCTGAGGTGCCTGAGTGAAAGGATTTCATTTATTTATGAGAAAATGTGCTTTATGTTGAGAACGCTGTAATCAAAATGTTAGCTTAAACTTTTGTAGAAGAAATGTTTGAAAATATGATAAGAAAATATCTTGGAAGAAATGAACAGGTACTTGCCTTTTTGAGTGCTTCTTGGAGCATTGTGAATATTGTAGAGAAGTCTCAATTATTCTAAGGTGTGTGCAGATGGCATCGGTATGATCACACCACTGTATTGGAAGAATTAATATATGACCGTAGTTATGTACCTGAGCTAAACAACTAAAAGGTTTAGGGGTGCATAGAAATCACCATGATTTGTATAACATTTTGGAAGTGAACTAAATATTTTTGAACATGCTACTTTGACAGCCAGTGTTACTTTTTTTTTTTCCAAACCAGCTCAAAGCACAAACTACTGCTTTAAACTCTCAAATATTTTCCAGTTCCCATATTTAAAGACATGCAAGCTGCAACCTCCCAGTCACAATTACTGGCTGCCAAGTTTATACCTGTTTCTTCAACTGTACCTTTTTGATATTTAGAATTTTTAAATTTCTGTAAAGTAGATTTTTGTAGATTGTAATGAGTGCTCACTGCCATTGTGAAACGGTATATAATTGTATAATTTCTGTGTGTAAACTGAATGCTTGGGCTTTCAATACAGTATTCATATAAAGCAATAAATATTAATGTTATGAAATATCTGAGTACATTTTTATCAGAATTGTCCCTCTTTTGGTTTTAAGTTCACATACCTGAAGTACAAAAATGACCTCTAAAATGCATGCAGATAGTTTCTTGTACTACATGGTATGCTTTGTATCATTTCGGGGAAATCTAGGTTTTGATTAATGCTGGAATAATTTGGCTCAGTTGGAATATTTATTAAGTTATTTCTTGCTGATGTTGCCTATCAAGTTCTAAGCAGACAGGATTCAGGGAGATGCTTGCCAAAAGAAAAAAAAAAATCTATTGATTGAGATCCCCTTACAGAAGGAAAATTGTACTTTGACTCATTTGCATTGTGCTTGAGGGTTGGATGTGTATTATAAAATTAAAGGACTGAACCAAACTGTTGAAATTAGGAAAGTTTAAAAATATAGTGACATCTTCTACTTCTCTTTGTGGATTTTTTTTTTAATATTTGCCAATGAGAACAAAATTTTAAAATTTCTAAGTTTAGAGATTTCTGAAATTTTCTTTAGACTGTTTATTTGTGAAGATATTGTCAATAAACTTGTTCTTTAAGCACCCGTGACCTTTCAATATGTTTGTTTTAGCAGCACTAGTGCCACTATTGCAGAGACTTGCAGAAGAACTTTGAGGTATGGTTCCATTTACGTATCTGCCTTTTTTTTTTCCCTAATGGTTAATAAAAATTGAAATTGTGCTTTAACATCACAGTAATCATCTTAATATTAAATGTGTGCCTGCATTTAAAGATTGCGTTTACTAAATCAGGGAAGATTCTTTTTTTAAAATGTCGATTTAAAAAAAAAAAAAAAAGCATTTCTTTCTAAGCAGCTGCATTTTGTCAGAGGCCTTACACACCTCCAGATACACAGGCAGCCGCTTTTCTGTGTGCGTGGAGGCGTAGCATTGAATCTATTTTTGGAGCTTGTATTTTTCTAAATCTGGTGGCTTTAAGTTCCATAATTACATACACCCCAGAGCACGTTTTGGTATACAGCCATTCAGACAGAATGGGTTGTTCTGTTTGCATTCATGAAGGAAGTGTGTGGTTAAGGCCCAGAAAACCAGGCAACAGGTGCTCTGTAGTGTTTGTGGGCGTATTTCCTATTAAAAAAATGTATTATATGGGACTAGAATATAAATGGAAAATGTAAAGGAGTTTACTTTTCAGAATACAAGGTGAAGGTCAGCCCTGAATTCTGCTCTTGATATTAAAATTAAGAAATTGCTATCTCAGAAAAGTTGATTTCCTTGAAGTATCTGACATGCTCTGCCAGCCTTGATTCTGAAACCTCAGGGACTCTTTAATGCTTGTAGGAGAGATTGCTTTCTAATATAGCAGGTACTTGGGGTTGTGGAGACTAGTAGGTTGAAGTTAAAATGGTTAAAAAAGATCCTTGAGTCGATTCAGCAAGTGGTGCAGAAGCGGCTGGAACTGGGGGTCAGCTAGGTGCAGCAGGCCCTGCTGGGTGCTCTCCCGCGCCCGTGCAGGAGCCCTGCCCAGGCTCGCGGGGCGAGGGCTGCGCTGTGCAGAGCCTGGCGGCCTTCTCCTGGCCGGAGGAGCCCGGGGCAGCGAGAGCCGCGGCCCTCCGGCCGCCTCTGCCTTGCGTCCTTGCC